CTGCTGCTGCTGCTGCTGCTGCTGCATCCCTCCCTGTCTGGCTGCAGTACTTCAGAACTGCAGCAGCAAGGCGGGACGACGCGCAACCCAGTCGCCGCCGCCCCTCTGACCAGCCACGCCGCTGCCGACGTTGCCCTATCTCGTGGCGAATCACGTTGCCGTGCCCTTCGCCCCTCCGTGCGTGTCCCTCCAGCGCACCCCATATAACGCCTCGACATCCGCTCCCACCAACGTCCCAAGTTCCCTTCACCCATCGTCACCCCACCCAACACGCCTTTCCGGCTCTGGCCCTCCTCATCCGCGCCTCTAGACCTACAGAGTCATTGCTTGTCCTGGTAGCCAAGCTCCCTCTGCCGCGCATCTTCCCCTCCTTCTCCCTGTCGGAATCCCCCCCTCTAGACACTCTCCGCCTCGCCTTCGCACAGACGAGACCAGTTGCTCAATATGGGTGCTTGGAACAACTTTGTCGACGGCTTCAAGCCCGAGGTCACCGACGACACCGCCTCGGACTCGTCGCCGCCCAACTACAATGAGAAGAACGAAAAGGACTTCGAGGCTGGCAACGTCGTTGCCGGCTTCAAGGCGCCTAACGAAGATGGCGGCCTCAAGCGCAACCTGCACGGCCGCCACGTCCAGTTCATCGCCCTCGGTGGCTCCATCGGTACCGGTCTCTTCATCGGCTCCGGTGGTTCGCTCGCCGCTGGTGGTCCCGGTTTCCTCATGATCGACTACATCCTGATCGGTATCATGCTTCTCCAGGTCGTCATGGCCCTCGGTGAGCTGGGTGCCATCTTCCCCGTCGCCGGTTCCTTCGCTGCCTACTCAACCCGTTTCATCGACCCCGCCGTCGGCTTTGCCATGGCATACAACTACTGGCTCCAATGGCTGATCGTCCTGCCCCTCGAACTCGTCGCCGCTTCCATCGTCATCAGCTTCTGGGACCCCAACGAGGTCGTACCCAAGGGCGTCTGGGTCGCCATCTTCCTCATCGTCATCATCGTCATCAACCTCTTCGGTGTGCGTGGTTACGGTGAATTCGAATTCTTCGGCTCGCTCGTCAAGGTCCTTGCTGTCATTGGCTTCATCATCGCAGGTGTAGTCATCAACGTCGGTGGCGGCCCCGACGGAAAGTACTACGGTGCCGAGACGTGGCACAACCCCGGTGCCTTCAACAACGGCTTTAAGGGTTTCTCCTCGGTTTTCGTTAGCGCTGCTTTCGCCTTCGCGGGTACCGAGCTGATTGGACTTGCTGCAGCCGAGACGGCCAATGCGCGCAAGGAAATTCCAAAGGCCGCCAAGCAGATCTTCATGCGCGTCACCATTTTCTACGTCGTCTCGCTCTTCATCGTCTCTCTCCTCGTCCCCTACACCGACAAACGTCTTGGATCCGGTTCCTACGATGCCAGGGCGTCCCCATTCGTGATTGCGATCAACAATGCTGGGATCGCCGTGCTGCCTAGCATTATGAACGCTGTCATTCTTATTTCCGTTCTGTCGGTCGGAAACACGGCAGTTTATGCCGCTTCGAGGACGCTCCAGGCTATGGCTTCGATTGGACAGGCTCCCAAGCTCTTCACCTACATCGACCGCAACGGACGACCCGTTCCTGCCGTCGTTCTGTCGCTCATCTTTGGTCTGCTCGGTTTCCTCATCTACGCCGGTGACAACGCGCGCAACACCACCTTCAACTGGCTGCTCGCCATCTCGGGTCTCTCGACCATCATCAGCTGGCTCTGCATCTGCATCTCGCACGCCCGCTTCCGCCTCGCCTGGAAGAAGGCCGGCCACACGCTCGAGGAGCTCCCCTGGAAGTCGCCCTTCAGCATCTACGGCTCGCTCTATGGCGCTGCCTTCAACGTGCTCGTCATCATCCTCACCTTCTACACGGCCGTCTGGCCCATCGGCGAGGGTGAGATGACCAAGAGCGAGCGCGCCACCGCCTTCTTCCAGAGCTTTATCTCGGTGCCCATCGTCGTCTTCGTCTTCTACATCCCTTACAAGATTATCAAGCGTACTCGCGTCATCCCCATCGACGAGATCGACATCAGCACCGGTCGCCGCGACCCCGTCCCCGTCGAGGTGCTCCGCCGCGAGCGCGAGGAGGCAGCCGCCCGTCCTGTCTACAAGAAGGTCTGGAGCTTCTTCTTCTGAGCGTCTCTGCCTCCGCTTTGTTCGCCTTCCTCGCGGAAGTGTTAGCTTGATACCACTGTATAGCATCGCGCGCAATTTTTGAATTTTATGGATTGCACTGGATTTTCTCCCGTTTATTATTTTATTTATTTACTTTGGGGTGCTGTCAATTTGTGCGGCGAGGGGGCATGAGGAACGCGTTCGACCCGTGAATTTATTTGAAATTTAAGCTTTGCCTTTTGGACGTGCCGAAATGAATCGCACCCAAGATGCTGTCGATGCGAGATGAAAATCCACGTGCCCACAAAAGATATCGACCGTGGATGCCGATGCATTCATCACAAACGCCGTTTACGCCCGAACAGGGTGACTTGTCGAAACAGACGTCAAATTTCATCTGGCATTATCCTTGGTGGATCTTGGAGGATCTTTGGGTCGCGGGAGTGGCGGTCTCTTTCTTGGAGTGCTTGTGATGTCGACTGTGGCTGGAGACGCATCCACCGCGATAGTGAGGATTGATTTGATGAGGATTGATTTGGGATGCGCGGTAGCCTCCAGGGTACCAACAATCCACAGTAGCAGCCGTTTCAAAACGCTGGCGATGTGGCTAGCTGTCTTGATCGCCTGATGAGGCGAGAGAGAAGGGAGTGAGGGTACCGTTAGAGCCGGGTCAGCTAGCGCGTGACGTTGGCCAGTCGTAGCGCGCATGTCTATTAACGTCGGATGGGCGGGCTCGTATCGACCAGGCAATCGAGTCTGTGTCGCAGACTAACCGGACCGTGTCGTCGGTCAACAGGTCCGTGCGAAGCACAGTCCCCTAATTTTACTTTACTAGAAGATATCGCCGGCGTCGTCGTCGTCGGTATGGCTGTCGTCCAGCACAGATGCGTCCATGCTGGTCTGCAGGCTCTCAAGCCTCTGGTTGGGCCAAGGAGCTTGTGACCTGTTTTGGCAGACAAGGTTGTGGTGGAGTGCGGTTCATATCGGTAGATATAGTAGTGCGGCCTGTGGAGTTGGGGTTCGAGGCCATCCGTCTGTCTCTCTGACGGGTCGCAGCTAACGATGAACAGGCAACCCCAACGCAAGATTTGTGATGGCATTTGATCAGTGATCGAAAAGGTAACGCCAAGAACCATCTTTAGAATCTATTGACCCCGACAGCCTTGAGGCACGACTTACATGATCAAGCAGAGTCAAATGGTGTCACGTCGTGCAAAGAGCGACTTTGTCGGTGCATCCCATTACCGTTGCTTTCGGGAAGGCGTCTTGGCCGTCGGTCTCGCAAGCCTCGTCTCAATCTAACTCCAGCGTGTTGAAGATCTACGAAAATGGAGTCAGACACAGCGACGCTTCCGGTTCCAAGCACTGACACCATCTCAAGCAGGTCATAGGAACTTGCACAATGCTGCGCTGTGCTTCTGGATCGCAAAGGGCCTTCTCAGACTGCTCTATCCACGCGCAATCAGCCTCGAGATCCGTGTGCGCTAATTCCATTCCACGTGTTCGCAGCGACTCTACTTGGGCAGCTTACCCAGGCTCTGGTCCTGCAGATAATCGCCTATGGCCTGCAGATCGTTGCCCTTAGCCTTGCGCAGGTACAGTGCGAGCGTCTCGGTATCCGCGTCCGGCAAGATGTCCGCCAGCTTCGTCAGGGTTGCGTTGAACGCTTCCGAGTCGCCCGAATTCGAGCCTCTTCGCATGCGATCCCTTACCGAGCCGTACGACAGCGACGACCTCAAGCCCGCGCCGATCCTGGGCGAAGTTTCGGCGCTGAGGCTCGGCGAGGTGCTGCCCGCTTGACTGCTGCGACGCGGGGCGCTCAGAAGGTCGGAGGTGTAGCCCTCGTGGCTCGAAGGCCCACCACTCAGACGCGAGACGAAGGTCGGCCCACTGCCGAAGCCGCCCGCGATGGGCGTGATGGGCGTGATGGGCGTAATGGGAGATGTCACGGCCTGGCCTGAGTTGGTGCGCGACATTTCGTACGACAACCGTGTGGATCCCGTCGGCGCACGTGGACCCAAAGGACGGGGTCCACTCGGCGCGCTTGCACCCTCGCGCACAGAGTCGAGCCGCGCGCTGGGCTCGGCTTCGACACCGCGCATCCCGAGCCCGGCACGAGCGGGGCTCTCTGGCCGACTGAACGTGGTTTCAAACGTGTCGGTGCTTGGGTTTGCCGACGATGTTGCGCCCGAAACGATGGGCGATCCTTGTGCTTGCCGGTTGCGGCTGTTGGCCAAGTAGGCGCGCGAACCACCTGTGCCGATCGCCGCCGATGCGAGCGGCGAGCTTGCAGGCACGGCTGCGGGTGGAGGCACTGATGCCTGACGCTTGCTGTTCTTCCTGCCTAGACCGGAGAAGAAGCGGTTGCCCGCGCCCGAGCCCGAGGTGCGCATCGCACCCATGCCCTCGCCCACGGACGTCGAGCCGGGCAACGACGCGAACGACTGCGTCGAGTTGCTGCGCGTCTGCTGCGGCGCTACGCCCGGGTAGGGTAGATTCACGGGCGTCTGTACGGGCGACTCGGCCATCGTCGGCATCACCGACACAATCTCCTTGGCCTTGGCCCCATCGCCGCGCATGGGAAACGTCATGTCCGAACGCACCGAGTCGGCGTACGATCCCTCGTTGCGCACGTGTGTCGACCGAGGCAGCGTCCCCTGTGCCAGCCAATCGGGCTGACTTTGCCCCGTGCGCGCTTGTTGCCGCATAGCGGGCCGCTGAACCACCTGCATCCACAGCGCCAGCCCCGTCTGAAGGTGCAGCAGCTCGTTGGTGCACTGTGCATATGCGCGCGCGCGGTCCCACGACGAGCCGCGCTTCTGGCCCACCACAATGTTGCTGCTCGCAAACGCCGCGGGCATCGGCAGCGTCTTGCCGTACACCTCGATGCGGCTGGGCAGAGCGGGTGCGACGGGGCGCGCGGCAGCTGTCGGCGTCGTTGGTGCGGCGCGCTGACGCACGGGCGAGCTGAGCGGCGCCATCGATAGCGAATGCGCCG